TAAATACAGTGTCAACATTCTGAGCCTACTTTGCATCGAAGGAAGTCATCAATAATAAACGACTTTGGAAGTTCGAGTCAAAAGGCCAAACTCGACGGGAAAAGTTCGCCGGAAAGTTTGTGGTAATTTTTCGGAGCCGATCGCTGATAGATTAAAATGTCCCGTTTAAAGGGGATGGAACAGATTTTTTCGGGATTTACATTTTGGCTTCATCATTGAGCAGAGTGAAACTCATTAATTACAATTGCCGGCACTGTTTGGGATGCTCAAAAATTTCTATCTTATCCGAGGCCTAAAAATAGCCAAATTTCCACTGTAAACTCAATCAAATTTGTGTTTGTTTTAATTAGTACCCTTATTTTTCTCAGTGATTTATCGCATCACGCAATTGTAGAAGGACCGAAAAATGAATCATTTCGGTTTTATTATTGTAAAACGCGTCGCACGCAAAAGTGTCAGCGGCGCCATGTAATGGTATTTTTTTACTAGAAAAAACATGAAACCGACTGTTTGCTTATTTTAGGTAATTAGCGAGGCGTGCTGGCATAAATAATTACTTTTTGCTTATCGTTTCGTCTTCTTTTTCCAGCTGTGTCGTTTCAATTGTCCAACTTTTTCCATTGATTAACATCTGCCAAATGAACGCTTGATTGAAAAACTTTCTCAAAATTTGCTCACTTTGGATGCGGAATTTGTTTTTTTGCGCTTGAGCACTGAATGGGTTTATTATGAATCATTATTAAGATGGGCGAAAGACCTTTAAGTCTAGAGAAGTCTACTCTGAATAAAATCAGGCAATAGATGAAAATTCGGCTAATAGAATAAATGGGGTGTTCAACAAATCACTTGGTTAAGTTTGTCTGTACTCGGCATTTTAAGTACCTACTTTTTAGGTCCGTTTCAGACAGTTTTTGTTTTCAATCGACATTTCTAATTCCGCGCCTTTCTCGCTGATTTTTTTTTTGCATTTTTACCCTTTCTAAGGTTTGAAAGTTTCTATTTTCGGTATTTTGTACAAATGCAATTAAGAGCGTTTTATAGACAATTTTCGGTTAAATTAAATGTGTGTCTAAAATCTGTTAATGTTGAAAATGCAGATACGAGGATAAAAAAGCACTAAAATCTAATCGAATTTTACTGGACACGGCATTTTAAGTACTTTTTAGATCAAATTAGTTTCAAACAGTTTTTGTTTTTAATCGTGTTTTTAATTCCGGGTTTTTATCGCGATTTAATTTTTTGCCATTTTCATGTTCGCATCTTTCTTTTTTCCGTTCTTTGTAAAAATGCATTTAAGAGCGTTTATAGAGACAATTTTCCGTTAGATTAAATTTGTGTCTAAAATGTATGTTAATGTCGAAAATCCACATACGAAGATAAAAAAGGCACAAAAATCTAATCGAATTCTACTGGCCACGGTATTTTAAGTACTGTTTGGGTCAGATTCAGACAGTTTTTGTTTTTAATCGTCGTTTTAAAGGCGTTTTGAATTCCGCGTTTTCTTCGCGGTTTTAATTTTTTGCTATTTTGATGTTTGAATCTTTCTTTTTTCCGTATCTTGTAAAAATGTATTTAAGACCGTTTTTAGAGACAATTTTCGGTTAGATTAAATATGTGTCTAAAATATATGTTAGTGTCAAAAATGTAGATACAAGTATAAAAGAGGCACTGAAATCTAATCTACTTGACTCGGCATGTTAAGTACTTTTTCGCTCATTTTCAGACAGTTTTTGTTTTTGTTTTCAATCGTCGTTTTTCCATTCCGCGCTTTTTTCGCGGTTTAATTTTTTTCCCCATTTTGATGCTTGAAGCTTTCGCTTTTCCGTAGTTTGTAAAAACGCAATTGCGAGCGTTTCAGAGCCAATTTTCTGGAATTCTACTGGATTCAACACTTTAAGTACCTACTTTTAGGTCAATTTTAGACAATTTTTGTTTTAGCTCGTCATTCTTTTTGACCAAAATGTGTGCTTCAGCTATTCAAAAAAGAATAAATGGAAAATAAATAATTCCGATAAAAGAATAAATAAAAAAAAATCCTTTTGTGTTCATTTATTCAATAAAAAAATAAAGTTGTTGCCAATGTTTTCTAATTTTTTCAAATTGTTACCAAAAGTTACGTTTAAAAAGTTGTTCTGTATAACCTATTGAAATGTTGAAGCAAGCAAACAAGCAAACCCTTAAACACATTAGAAGAAAAGTTCAATTCCGTTCTTTTTTACTCAGTTCTTCATTTGATTCATCACCAACTCGGAATGTTAATGTTGAAAATAAAGTGATAACGATTTTGTCTAGTTTTTCGTCAGCTTTAATTGATTTTTGAGTGCTAAAACATTCGCCTTTTGGATTTTTCTTTATAAAACTTAGCAGAAGCAAATGATGACTTTTTCTCAGCAGAAAAACTCATCCGAATGAAGAAACGACAACAGTCGATTTACAAACGTTCGAAGCAATTTGAAAGCGCATTGAATGATCTGAAAAATGGGCTCTAAATTGTAAACATTTGCAGACAAACAAAGGAAATGTGAAAAAAGTAAATAACCTTTTTTATTTTACTTTGAATAGTCATATTTTTCTCTTGTTGATTAGTTTTGTTCAATATTGTTGCAAAAACAAAGAAGTCTGATGAAGGCGGAAATGCTGTATTTTTTATTAAATACAATTTCCTTTTGAGTTTCAATTTAAATGCAGTAAAATCCTGGAATTTTAGCGATATTTTCTAACTTTCAAGTCTAAACTTGACTGAAGTTTCTGTTTGGGCGTTTTCTCTGAAGGCGGGGTGTTTGCTAGTTAGTGAAAAATAATGAACAAACATATTTTTGGTTTTAACTGAAAATTGTCAAACAATTAAGTGTTAATATTTTTGCGTGTTTTTTATGTAAAAGAAGTCAATCGTGTTAAGAAAATTATGTTGCTTCTTACCCATTTGATCCATAAATTTCGGTTAAAATTGCCTGGATTTGACACTATCCAGTGTCTTCAAATGGTAGCAAATGAAAAAATCAAATGGAGCCAAGTCGGGGCAATGGTGCGTCCAGTTCATCTGAACTTAGCAAAATCCTAGTGAAGAAAAATTGCAATAAAACGCTTTGATTTGTTTTTCTATGCCAACTCCTTGTGCCAGACCTTTTGCATGAACATTTTGGTCCAGTCTTTCATATTGAAGTTGCAATTTTTTATTTGTGCACTATTGTTTTTTTACTCGTTTAAACTCGTTGTCCATTTCGGGAAACTTGGACAGGATGTTTTTGTGCTGGTTCTAGTGGCGGGCATTAAGTCGCAATCACGATGCGCCGCAATTCATAAACTATTCGAAGCCCGTGAAGAGAATCAGCAAGAATGCCTTCCTTCCTTGCAAGTGCCGAAATTTCGCCGTCCAAAAACCGTTAAACTTGCTTACTGACCGAATTAAAGTTTTTGTCTCCCGGCCAGATTATGTGCAAACTCACAATAAATCTAGCGGCGTCAAAGTTTGTATTCACACACAAAAGTAAAGATAAGGAGCGACCGTGGCAGCTCTATACCAAGAAAAGCACAAAAACAGGGGTAAATATATTTTGTTTGTGCAGACGGGGAGACATTGATAGCGAGACAAGGGTTGAGCTAAAGATATATGGAGTTGGACCGCCAAAGAGGGTAGTATTAATCACTGGCACTGAGAACGACTAATTAAAGACTTTTCCAGGACTTTGGAGTTTAACTACCTTAATGCCGTCTTACAGAGCTCCACTAAATGAGATCCAGTTAACTTAATTGAATATTATTAGCGCTCGGAATGTCTACGTTGAATTTCCGCACATCTACGATATGCCAGCAATCGCTGCTTTTGCATAGAAAACAACCAAAACAACGAAAAACTTTCCTTCAAATGTTTCATTCATACACTTGACTATATGGGGGGTTGTTCAAATGTGACTTGACTAAATTCATCACGTTTTCATTCAGTTGAGAAAAAATGTTCCGGGCAGCTTACAAGGCGCGCATTTTTTTCAGTTTTCTTCCAAACTCTTTTGTTGGGCGAAAACGGGACAACTAGAAGTTGTAAAATGTATGGGGGACTTTTTTACTAATAACACATAAAAATGTTAATATAAATAATAACACTGAAGATAAATTGACGATGGACCACTTGGAAATTGGACCCGATATTTTCCCATCAACATTGCCATTTCCACATCGAATTTGCGCCTCTCACCTCAGACCGAAACAAAGAAGTAAACGATCCTGACATTAATAGTGACCTATTCAAGCCGCAAAAAATGGGACTTTCTTGCAGGAAAAGGCGAATCGTCCTGTGCACAGGAATTAAAAATGTCGCCGCCCTAATTTATACATAGACTAATAACGCATGGCAGCTTTTTCACTTGTAAAATGTCAATCAAATGCCGTATCTGCTAATTTGCCCTATAAATAGTAAACAGTAAAGTGCTGCTCGCTGTCGGTTTGCCGGTGTTTATTTTTAAAAAGTTTTCCGACTTTCTGACCCGAGCATAATGCCGCTGCAGGCAGGAGAGTTTGCTCTGATCCAATATGTAAAACGCTTAAAAACTCCTGCAAATAATAATTAACCCAAGTGGGAATTATCCGTTTTAATTAAGTAAGGTGCCAATTTTCAGCCCAAGAGAAATCGCAGTAGCAGAAAGTACCAGCATTAAATTAAAACTAAATGCATCGCAATTTTTAATTTAATTTTTAAACTGTATGATGGTGAAATAAAGTAACGACATCGAGTAATTAAAAGCGCAGCTGGTCATCTTTTTTCCGTGACTTGTTGTCCATTTTGCATGTGTTGGCCGGCTTTTTTCCATGATTGTGTTCCAGATTTTGTTTCCATGCCAGTCTGAAGAACTTTCATGCAGCGAACTCTAAAAATTTCAGTTGGTTCAGTATGTTTTGCAATTTTTTTACAATATTCGACCCCAGTGGTCTCTGTGCATCGCCAACAATGAATTCGGCCCTTTAAAGTCCAGGAATAAATAACTCATGCTCTTTCTGGTTTTCAGGAAATCGCCGCCATCCTTATCAGCTTTGATCGGCACGCGGAGTGGCAGAGCAAAGAGGTCAAGATCAGGTCTGTATTTGGAATTAAGCCGAGTTTCCTATCTGGTTGACTTCTAGAAATGCTGGTTTAGTTGCCTGGATATTTGTTTTGATTATTTGCTTGTATGGAAAGTACATACAAAGTGTTGAGTTTTCTGCTACCTTTGTAAATGCAGAATCTGTGGTTAAAAATACATGCATGTAGTAGATAGTAGCGTCATTTTTCTGGAGGTATGCATATAGGAAGTAGTGAAAAAAACTGTTTGTGAACTCGCAATAAGAACTGTTTATCAATCTGTAATAAAAGGCGTGAGGAAATTCTGTCTTTTTTAAAGACAAACATTTTTTGAGCCGAAAAAACCAACACACAGTTTAAGAAAACATGAATCCGCCTCAACAATATAGAACAATCAAAAAATTAAAGTTTTTTCTGATGGAACTACAGCAAAATATTAAGCTTTGAAGAGCACAATTGAGAATATAACCACAAAGCGCGGAAATATCTATCGGTCTAGATAAATGGTTCAAAGCAAAATATGCTCTATTGTCATTCAGAAAAATTCACATGGACAAACGGTTGCCGTTGTAATTTTGAATGCAAAAATTATGCAATCGTAATGTTGCCATATAGAAATGTTGTCTACGATTAAGCCACTTTTGCAGTGTTGTATCTGATTTTTTAGTTTAAAAAATTGCTTAGTACCAAAGTTACCTCGCAACCCCTTAACGAGAATAACGACCGTTTTTCCCAACTTTGTGCAACTCCGCGTCAAAAAAGTTCCAGGTTTTTAAATTCTCTAAAACCGATTTTCCATAAGCAGTTCTGTTTTTTTTGCCAAATCTTTATATCGGTCAAAAAAAACGCAAAATGCTACATTTGATTATGTAAATTTTTTTTTAGTCCTGCATCCCGCCTATATTATTTTCTGTATCCAGCGCTCTATTTGGTTGCTGTTCGGCATAAACTGAAACATGCTTTTCCTGTTTTTATTTAGATCGTTGCACGTATGCATGGCTCTTGCTCGAAAACTCGAATATGTAGATACGATCCGAATATCGGGAATAACAAACATAACTCGTGGCGTTGCACTTTGCATTTCTTCGGCGCTTTGGCTTGAAAAAAACGTCCAAAATGTTGCAATGGCGGGTTTAATAAAGTTGCTCGAAAATTACTAAATGTGATCAACTCAAACGGTTGATGAAGTACGGGCCAAATAACTTCGCGTACATTTCAATTGATCTGAATCGATTTGAATTAAGTTTCACTCGTAATTACTCACCGATCAAATTAAAACTGGGGCCCGGAACGCCGCTGGCCCCCAAAATGCCATATAAATTTAATGCAAACCTATGCAAAACTTTAACTGTCTTCTATAACCGATTCGACCCAATGCGTTCCAATAGATTTCCGAACATTAATTCCTGGATTAATTTAGTGATTCAATTTGCTCGGTTAGTAGACGAACAGTGCAGGCGATAAGGGTTTGAAGAGGGGTTTCCGAATTATTTCGCGTAATTTTATATCAGTTTTCACGCAGAATTTATGCTCAGAGGCGCCCAAAAGAAAGCTGATTAACCTTTGGCAATGAAATGTTTTGTCAGGGTTCTTCTGAAGGTCCTGCGTTAGAATGTTTCTGTGGATGAATGATGAAGGAGCTCCGTTTTCAAACGAAGGTAAAACTATCGGCCATCTGAAATCTGCTCCAAAAAACCGCGGGTTTTCAACAAAAAAATCAATGATTTATGTAGTGTAAACCTCAGTCACGTCCTGTTAAGTGGTAGATTTTTATACTTTCGATATCGGTATGCATTGAGTCACACTTGGCGATTTTTTTAGAAATCTTGACCGTTAATAAAAAATCTTCAAGAGCCAAAGAAAGTTGGCAATCGATTCATGGTTCTAAAGGCTGCGTATGTTTGAAAAACCCCGAATAGCAAAGAAAGTTATGGGCCTTCAAAGGCCAAGGACTGAGTAAAGTGTCTGAAATTAGACTCCTGAATTAAATTGTCTTCATAAAATTCCAGGAAAACTAATCGAGGAAATTGAAGACAATCTAAGGAGGAGAGGAGAGTATTGATAAATTGAAACATTACAGAATTTTTATGGATTTTACTAGATTGGAATGGAAGCAAAAGCGATCATAAAAGTCAGTGAAATAAAATAAAAGAAAAAATTGCTATATGATGCGAAAGATATTTTTGATCTATAAATTTGACTGAAGACATGAATTAACACTTTTGCAACATTAATAGCAAACAAATTAATATTTATTACTAATATAGTTAAATTAAGGAACTCTGGTATGAAATCTGGTGCTCGCTCTAAAAAGGACTCCATGCATCGACCATTTTAATCTACTTTAAATGCACAACCGAAATTTGAAGAAAAAAGATTTCGAGGTAATAATGAGAAAATTTGGAAGATTTCCAGAAAACGAAGACGGTCTACACCGGATCTAGAAGAGTCTTGAATTTTCCTAATTCTTTAAATTATCTAAAAAGGCAGCAGCTTAAATATCTTCTATAAATCTATGTAAGATGAAATACCTGAGTAGCTGGGTTCAAAATAAAAAACACATTAAGAACGACAAACTAAAGCTAAAGTCGCTTGCAATAAATCGTCAACTATCGCAGCAGAAAATGGAATGGTAACGTGAGACTAGAGGAAAATTGAAGACGAAAAACCAACAATCTTCTATGCTAGTGTTGAAGATGCAAGCAAAGACAAAATATTGAGGAAGGAAAAGTCTGAAGTAATGCAGATAAGAAGAAATAAAGTCATCTTAAAATGTTTAAAGCGGTGATGCTGTGACCAAAACCTTGATAAAATAAAAAATAAGATTGGAAAGTAAAATGAAACACTTTAAGGTCCCGTAGTCGAATAATAAATTGAAAGAGATTGTTTGCAAAAAACTAACCGCCCTTTATAAGACATAAGAAAGGCAGAAGTTAAAGACGGAAAAAATTTCGGAATCTAAACGAAGCCTGGTATGATAAAGTTGAACGAATGGACGAAAAATTAAAGAAGGGAACGACTGATCAAGAAAAGATGAAAATGAACGAAATTTTTCTTAAACTTATGGAGACAGTCAATCTGCTGCCAAAACTATTGACTTGAAATTGACTAAAAACCCTCAAGTAACAAATTTCCAATCTAGTAGACTTTTCTATTAAATTCCAGGATTTTTTCAACGGACTGCTGGCTTTTGAGTGGAGAAGCAAAGTGTGGAAATTATGCATCAATTCACTTGATTTCCTCTCGCCCGATAACAAAAACAACAGTCTCCTGTATCCGAAAAATAATTCGATATGGTGGAAACAACATGAGTTATTTTATCGCAAAGCGAGTGTTGTTTTTGCCGGAAGTGTTTTTTGAATAACTAAATGTAGACTGAATATTTGTTAAGCAAATTGGAACTGAACCTCGTACCGAAAAGAGTCCCGAGGGCATCGTTCTGATTCGCCTGATAACACTTGCCTATGCTTTTTGCGACGGAAAGTAATATAGCATGAGTTCCCGCTAGTATTATTTATTTTATATCGCCAACCCTTTATCGTTAACGCAAACTGTACTAATTTCTTCTGGTAGGCCTCTGCAGAAGGACCTCATTTTGCACTAAATCCATATAAAAGATTTATTCGACTCTATGCGGCTAGCACTTTCCCCAAAATTAATTTTCTGTAGATTTGAATAGACAAAAGTAAAAATTCTAATTAATGCAGCAGTAAACTTCATGCTAATTCCACATCCATAGAGTTTCCTCAGTGTAAGTGGTGGACAATTATTTGCCGACGAGAAACAACCCCAAGCCCCAAAGCCCATCGTCATTATTTTGATTCGTTTGATAATACAATATGCCTTTCGCTAGCAAAAGTAATCTAAACAAAAGTTTTCGCTAGTATTATTTATTTTGTATTATTACACACGTTATGCCCGTGCACAGAGGCTCTTGAAACGCTCGGCTCTTTCAATGTGTTGTGTTTTCCTTTCCGCTTTGTGCTTTGCGTTCAGCTTCGTATATCTGATAATACTGTTTGAGCAGATATTAATGACTGGAATTTATTATTTCTGCTTTTTCGCATTGGGTCCAGCAAAGCGTTCAAGGAGCAACATGTCTTTTGCATAGCGAAGAAAGTAAAGGAAAATCGTATTTCCGGAAGTGACCTGAAAAATCCTATTTACACAATTTTCTTCGCGATAAGATATGTTTTGAAATTTGAATTGTATTTTTCTTTATAGAAAAGTTGCGATTTAAGTTTCCAATGGTGTCTTTTGGAAGAATCGTACAGAAGACTATTTAAAACAGGGTTAGTTAAAATCGCTGCTGGCCGCAGACGAAGATTGGTGACAAAAAACCAACAAGCTTTTATGTTTGCAATGAAGATGAAAGCAGAGAAACGATTGAGGACGGAAAATGTTGAAATAAGGACGATAAGACGATGCGAAGTCATTTTAAAACGCAGGAGCTAGCGAGGCTTTTGGATAAACCTGCTTAATTTATCTTGTGTATTTTTGGACTTTAGGGTCGAATAGTCGAGTGATAAATGAAGACAGGCAGAAGATTGTTCACAAAAACTAGCACAAAAAATTGAGGAACGACTGTACGTAAAAAGCTAGAGAAATGTATTTAAGCAAAAACTGTTTAAGAAAACCATCAGGCTCCCATGCCGGCCTATAATAAAGATGAAGAAATCGGCGAGAAATTAAGGAAAGAAGACTATTCGAGAAAAGATGAAAACGAAATAAACGTATTTAAAACTTACGAAGATAGTGAATCTATTGCCAAAAACTATTGACTTCGTGACAACTCTCATCCCATCAAGCAGTTAAATTGTCGAAAAAACCAAAAACCATAAGAAAACCGACTTCATTTTTTTTGTAGAAAAACTGCGATTTAAGGTTCCAAACATTTCTAATTGTTTTCAGACGTCAGGAAGATCCAGAGAACAGTTCTCTATGCCTATAAGAAAGATGCAGAAATAGGCAAAAAATTGAAGTAAGAAACGAAAGAATTAAGGACGACAAAAATTCACCTAATCGAATACTGCTTAAGAAAAAACATCAGGCTCCCATGCCTGTCTATAATAAAGATGAAGGTATAGACGAAAAATTAGCGAAATAAACCAATCGTTAAATAAATTTAACTAAAACTTATGAAAATAGTGGATGAGTTGCTAAAAAAAATCGATAGACCAAAAACGTTTTTCCTATGGTAAGCCGATCGAATTTTTCTTCGTAGAAAAACTGCGAATTAACTTTCCAAGCAAATCTTATCGCAAAGAAGGCATATAAAATGGAACTTTCCATGTCAAACTCAATTGGCTTGATTTTCTCAAAAACTCCGGTTTTCCGATCAAAAAAAAAATTCTGATTTTCTCTAATAGACGATTCAATCGAAACGTTCGCCCAAAACGGTGAAATTTACGCAACCAAACGCTTCCGAATTGATTTTTGCGTGACCTACAATATGCTAATGGTTCATCCAGCAGTTTTATCTGAAACACCCAACCACAACCGGGTTATAAATTGCGAAGCAGCTGCGTTAACATACTGTGTCCTTAATATGAGGCGTAATTTTCCTAAACCAAATAATCCACTGTTATAATGCGTTAAAAATCCATCAATATAAGTGAAACTGTAAAAAATTGAAGCGTAACGCGAAGTTGTTAATACTGGTTAGACTTCAATTGCTACTTGGGTGCATTGGGTTGAACCACAAGAAGAAGTAAACAGGTTTTGGTCACGACTTTTTCACTTTAAGATCAATTTGTTTCGTCCTCAATGTTTGTCTGAGTTTATCTTCTTTATAGTTGCCAATTTTTTATGTGTTCTATCTTACGAGTTGTTCTAGTATTTTCGCCTGTGGTCAGTCTAACAATGGTCGTCCAGTGATCTTCCTACGTATCTTCAACCCCGTCTTTTCTAGTTGTTATCAACACTTTCACGGTTTCTTTCTTCAAAGACTTGGTTCAAATGTTGTTATTCTCCCGGATTGAGCTTTTAAGGCTTTTCTAGCTGCTTTATTCGGTTGCTTCTATGCTTCGACTTCAACATTTCCATATCCTAACTTTTCCGCAAAAAAGTTTCACCTCTTTTTTGCTGTCGAATAATTTTTGAATTTAGGCTAAAGTTTCTGTGGAAAGTCCTCGGTTTCCGCAACAAAACTACACCATCCGCGTAGCCTACGGTCTTAATCTTCTCATTTTCGTTAGATTTCTTCTGAATTTCGGCTCATCTTTTACAGTTTACAGTAAGAGTTTTCTGTATTTATAATCATAATGCTTGAGGCGACCAATTTTATTCGCAATTTCTTTAGCCGCCTGAAAAAATATTTTGATATTTTTTAATGCTGCTTAAACGCGATTCATTGTTGTGAGTAGTTGGAAGCCTGTTGAACACTATCCAGTCCTCTGGAAGTATTAATGAATGAAAAAGACTTCACGAGTCAGTCACTTTGCTGTATTTTGCTGCTCGTTTTCATCTTTCTATCATCTTGAGCTTTTGGTTTGGTTTGATCATTAAGTCATATGATTGCATGTTTTGCATGATACAATCAAACATTGAATGCAAACTTCCTTTTTTCGATTGACTTTGTTCTCTTAGTTTTTAACATCTAAATCACTGTATATTTTATTCTCCTTTGTATCTGTTTACCGTTTCATTTATCCTCTATTTCTTGACAAAACAATGGGAATTTTCTAGTTGTGCTTGCTAATCGTTTTTGAAATATTGCTGTATTTGTTTGTGCGTCTTTTCACGCCTGTGCAAGCTTCAGAAAAATTATTGTTTGGGTCTCTCAAGGCTGATTCTTAGCTTCAGAAGAGCTCAGAACAGAGAATGATTGGTGTATCTGACCAGGAACAACGATTCAATTGCCGTTTTTTATCGCGAAAATTAACCAACTTTTTGCTTTTTATCTTTCGGCTTCAAAATGAACATTCGCAAAATCGTTGCTAATATTTCAGCCGCTGTTCTTTCAAGATATTTTAATGTTTCCGAAAAAACAAGCTTCAGTTTTTCATGAGTCACTTGTGAATTTCAAACAACACACTAATTCTATGTAGAGACAATTATTAGCCATTCCTTGTCAGGTTGGAAGGGAAAAATCAAATATTATTCCGTTTCGTGGATAGCAATTGTCCCAAATGAACTTATCAAACCTGTTCCAAGTGGCACTGAAATGGGCTACACAAATGCAATGAAGCCTGCATAAATAGATATTTGCATGCAAGCCTGTTGACGTATATTAACAATAGTATTATTTGAGAAAACATGTGTGCTATTCATTAATTTCAGCACCGAATACACATAGAGACTATATGGGCTTGCAGCGAAACAGCGACTCGCCTGCTTGACAAAAATACTTGTTTATTCACGAACTACACACAACTTAATTTAAATTGTTTGATTTTCATTCTGTTTCCAATTTGCTACACAAATACAACAAACTGTGGATAGAAAGTTGCCACAACGTCCACAGTTTCGGCAGCTGATGCAGAAAATGATTTTCCTTTGGGGCCGTCCCAATTCTTACCTAGAATTCAAAGTTTTGTGGGTTTGCAAAAGGAGAAGCTGAAAAACCGAAACTTTATTGTTGTTTTTGCTGTGTTCTTCTATAAAATTAATTAGTGTGTTTTTGCAGGCCGAAAAGTGGTTCCATGTTGTTGTACAGCAGGAAAAAGGTGCGCTACCGTCGAGACGGATACTGCTGGAAAAAGCGCAAAGATGGAAAAACGACCAGAGAAGACCACATGAAACTCAAAGTGCAGGGAACAGAGGTAAATTACGCCAACACCAAAACGGTCCATTTCGTTGAATCCAAAGCCGAAAAAAGCGGGCAAACGGCGCGAAAAGCGAAAAATAATATTTGTTTCGCCTCGCAGCAAAACTAATTCCGCTTTATTTCCTTTTTTCGTGCCTCGGCGCCGTTAAGACGGGGTAATTGTTTGGGTTAATTAACCGGCGTTTAAAAACATTAATCTTTGCTTAAATTGCACAGATTTCGGATATAAAAATGATTCGGAAAAAAGGCGTTTTGCTAAGCGCGGTGAAACTGTTTAATGTGTTTCTTCTAGCGCTAATGGATCAGTGAGATAAAGTGGGCCAGGTGCCACTTTGCCTTATTAAAGCCCCATTAATTGCGTAAAAGGGAGCCGATCTTTCTCTTCTTCTGTTCACTGAGTGGAAGATTTAATAACAAAGACCGCAATTATTTCCTGTTTAATTCGGTTCTTTAACTTCAGGTTGTTTCCGGGTTTCTTCGTTGTTGTTCGTTTTCTTTCGCCCCTATTCTGCTTCACTTTTTTATTTCTTCCACTTTGCTACATTTTGCTTTCGAACCAAATTGTCATTCGTTCCTTCACTCATCCATTCATTCTCGTGAGTGAACTATTTACATGTTTAATTTAGTTCGTTAACATCAGGTTGTTTCCCGGTTCCTTTGCCAATCTTTGACTTTCTTCTTCGTTGTCGTTCATTTTCTTTCGCCCTTATTCTAGTTCATTTTGTCATTTCTTTCACTCCCAGTTTTTCTGATACATTCGCTTTTGAGCCAAATTGTCAGCGACAACATCTTTGCCGTGATTTATCGTCAAAGCCCCCAAAACGAACATTTTTGCTAATTCAGAGCGTTTAATTAGCTAATCGTTATAATGTCGGACCGGCTCGCTTTTGGGAAAGGCTCACCCTAAATTGGCCATCGTAAAGATAATCCAATTAAGATTAGCACACTCTTTTGTTGAGAGCGAACAGCTCCGATAATTAACAGCAAAATCTGCATTTATCAAGAGGTTTAGAGAAAAAATAACTGAGTTGCACTAAACACCTGAAGCTCCGCTGTCCAATTATTATGCGAACCATTTGGGCAAAGCTTTAAAATCCCGATACAAATTACTGGGTTGGAAAATTGAATAGCATTTTTACAAACGCTTCGGCCCGTTTGTCCCATCGCAATCCCCGACAACAGAAATTGGACAAACTGTCCTATCAATTGAATTTGTCTAATGTGAAGCGCCCCGAATAAAACCTTTTACCACCCTTAGATTCCCAGAAAAAGATAAAATGTTCCTCTTTAATTCGGTTTAATTCAACAGCCTGAATGGTTACGTTTTCCGTTGGACAGCTCTAAAGCACTCAATTCAGTCATTCGGTTTCGAGTGGCGGAGCTTTCGCACTGACGTTATCGAACGCTCTAATTAATGATAATCTTGGGCTTTTTCCAGTCGATCCCAATGAGGAGCTTTTTATCGCCACTGTTTTTCGAGCCATTGGCTGAAGAAATTCACTGGACCTTATCGAACTGGCTGTTGATCAAACTAATGTCTGTGTCCTATTTTTTCAACAGTTTACTCCCTAAACCGTCTCAAAATATATTTTCTGTGTTATCAACTTTTTTTCTCAAGATCTATCGTTTAAAGAGTTAAGTGGTTATGTGGGATGCCGAGCAAAAAAGCTCAGTAACTTTGAACCCCGGCGAAGTCTAAACTTAGCTCTTCAAAAACCATACGAATTGAGGTTCGGAGGAAAGCAAAACGTAAAAAAGTTTTCCAATTGGAAGTTAAAAATTTACATTAGTTTGAAAATGCAGACCCAGTCTAGAAAACGTGTGTTTTAAAATCGCTTATAGACTTGGAAAAGCCGATTTTGATCACTGTGTGACACGACCTCGAACTCTTCATAAGCACCGAAAATTCGAAGAATCTTCGGAAAGTTCAGCAGCAATTGAAGATGCTTTTAATGTATTTAATTTTCTGAAATTTGTTTCTTTAATCGTGACTGACTATTCTGTAAGCATTCGGTATTTAATTTTGTTTAAAACTCATAAAATTTCATTCTTAGTTGTAAAATATTCTAAAGCGATTCCATCCAGTTCTTACATCATGCATGTGTAAATTCTTTTTGCAGTTTTTGTATTTTTATTTATTAATGATTTCAGTTTAGCAAGTGCTCGATTTTTCACATTTTTTCTCCTCGTTGATCCATTTGCCATTGCTTTTTAAAATAAGTTTACGTGGGATTGGAGCAAGTTAAATTGTCATGCAATAAAAAAAATAAATAGTAACAAAGCGATGGAAAAGAGTAAGCAATACATGAAGATATTAACAATAATCATTGCAAAATAACACTGGATAAAAGTGGAAAAAATGCATAGTCTTTCGGATCTAATGAAACTTGGAAGCCTAATAAGATATTGTTTCTTCCTGGCCCATATTTACCTACTATTTTTCATTTCTAAGAAAATACTGTTTGTTTTTAAGTGTTGTGCTATCATTAACTTAAACTTTACAGTTTTGTTTCTTCACTTTTTCTGTACATTTCGTATTTTTCGACTTAGGCAACAATAAAATAGACAAATAACGGATGAAAGAATCAGACAATTCAATTCAACGGAAATTAATTCAAAAAGATTTCCATTTTCAACCGGGCTAAGGCTGTTAAGGTTTTAAGGCTTGTCTATTTTATTGACCTTTGATTTGAATTGTTTCATTCTTCCCTTCTGTATTCATTTTTTGTTTCTATTTATTTTATGGTTGGACAAAATTGTTGCCTTAGAACATTACGAAATGTGCATCAAAACTGAAGAACCAAAAGGTTCAAAGACAATTTCGTGCAACAATAAAATAAATAGGCAAAATTACAAACAGGAGAGAAGAATCAAGCAATTCAAAGGGAGGGTCACCCAAAATAGTCAAGCTTAAAAAAGCCCGCCTGCGTATAGTTGAAAATTGCCAAAGGCTTGATTTTCTTAGAATTTTCAAGGCATTAAACTGTTTAAGTTAATGCTAAACTCTTGTGAAAATCGTCTAGGTACATGATAAAGAGAAAATAAGTTTTATTGAGGATGCCAGGAAAAGATCCTTCCATTTTTTATGGCTAGAAAATATGGTTTGAATAATCCGCTTCCTGTGCTCACTTCTCTCCACTTTTGCCAAAGTGTCTTATAATAAATGGTTTAAAAATTCCCTGCATCGCCAGCAGCAAATATTTTTTAAACATTCAGTTTTGGGACCCTTCTTTGGTCGATATAAGTAAGCCCCGTTTGCCTTCTCCGTCTCATTTCTGTTTAAATAATGTTGTTTTAACGCCCTAAAGATATCGGATTAGGTTCAAAACGCTCAATCTTACACCAGAATTTCTATTACATTTTTACAGACTTAAAACGCGTTTTGTCCGAATTTACGTATAAAATTGACGATGTGAACTTTGGCAATTGTTAAAAACACTTTTTAAAACCCAGGACAGCAAACATCAAATAGCACAACTTTAATGCTAAAAATTGAATCCGGCTTCTATTTTTCAGTGCATCTATGGTTGTTACGTGCACTCGGCAATTCTGCCAACGTTTCACCGCAGATGTTACTGGCTTCTTCAGGTAGTATGTCAATTTTTCAATTTCTATTCAATTTACTGAGGACTAATTGCGGAACTTTTGAAACCACTAAAGAAACAATCAAATTTTCCTAGTATTAGTCCGTAGTGAATCGCCGCTAGATAACAAAATAAATGTGGAAATTCACTTTGATTTGTTTTGGTTGAAGAATCCGGACATTGTCCTTGTCCACTACCTGAACGTCCCGTATCCGGACGACAACAAACTGGCTGTGATAACACCGAACTTGGCTCTATGGGCGGATAAGAAAGAGTGGACTAAGGACGAGTTGGTGTCGCAATTGAAACCGATGTTTTTTAGTGAAGATGAACCCGACCTGAACAACGAACTGGAAATATCGGTAGGCGAAGATTTCCACTCAAGAGTTGCCGCTCAAGATTAAAAACCCTCAGCGTGAATGTTTTTTTACAGAATTTTAAATTGCAGACCGCCGAGACGGTGGAAGCGATCGTAAGCCAGCTAATGGAAAAACAACGAGTGGCTAGACAAGCAGCTTTAGTACGTACGAGATTAACCGGCATGGATCGTAAATAAAAGAAGGCAATCTATTCCAGGTGAAACAGTTGGAATGCGGCTGTCCAGACTCCACTTGTGCCGATGGAAAAAGCTGTTCGCATCCAATGCGCAGGATAACATCGGCCAAGTCCGGCTCTCCTCTCCCCAGCTCCAGTACAAATTCCAGAAATTCCAGTTCAGAAAGCAACAATCAGGCAATGATTCAGCACGGTGTTTCCAACTGTGCATCTAAACCCTCGTTCCCGATTATCCAGGTGTCTTCTACGACCGGCTCTGGATCGCTTCACGTCAACAACCACCACAGCACCCCAAGAGTGTATTCCAGAGACCGAAGCTCCCAGTTATCCGCGCAAAATGCCAGTAATTGCTCATCCAGTTCCAGCAATACTCCTCCTCTGGTTTTGAGTTTGTCGCAAATTCAAGGTAGTGGAGGCCTCCTGATCCTCAACAGCAATACCAATAGTACAAATCATCAAAACCTGGTCAATCCGGTGTCGGTGGCCAACTTCATGACATGCAACACCAACCGAGGGATAATCAAAGAACAGCGAACAAGGTAGTAAGGATCAAAGTGGCTTCGAGTGCTTTTAGCAACGAGATATTTCCTCCCAAAGCCATCTAGTGCTCAAGCAGGAAGTAATGGATACGACCAGCACGTCTTCGTGTCTGCACGCGGGCAACAGCAAGCAAGAGGCGAAAAACAAACCGCCAACGGAGAGCAAAATGGAGATAAGCGAAAACGTCCGACAATCATTTTTCGATGGCAATATTTACGGGAACGCCACTGTTCAGCAACATCCGCAATCCAGGAACAACATGTAAGGCTCCAAACCAGCTTCTGTCCATTTTCACTAACCTATTAAACGGAATCTTTCTCCTGCGGATGGTTCTTAGACGGTCCATTTTCAGATCTCAGTCCCAAAGTGAAGTGGTGATGTCCAGTGCGCCTTCCACTCCTTCCAAAATGATGGACACTGGCCCGGACGATTCCAACAATACAGACTTCAAGCAACATCAGAATTATTGCGAAAACACCGTGGTTTTGCTTGGTATGTTGTGTTTTTTGGGTCAGTTTCAGTGCCAATCAAGGCACATTCCCCTGTTATTTGCGTAGGTACTGACTCCAACGGAACGCTGGTAAGCAAGAGCGACGGTTCCTCAATAATAAACCGGGGATTTTTCAACGAAACTCTGGATCTGTCGCAAGAGGACATTCAGAGAACGCTTTCAGCCAACATGCCCATGTGTTCCAACGAGCTGGAGAACCACCACCCCACTCATCCCTCGGAACCGAACACTGCCACCCAGCAGATCAAGAAGCAAACTGAACCTGCTAATCTACCAGGTGAGTTCAGTTCCATTTCAGCCCCAACAGGAAAGTTGCGGACCAACAGAAGTGACGATAATTTCGTCCGAATTCGTACGAATCATTTCGGATCTAGTGGACGAGCTTTTCTTTTTCTGACGGAAGCAGTTCGGACGAAAACGCATCCAGCGGCCCACATACTACACACTATTATACCGGGAGTCAATTTGAAAACTTCTCACCCTTAATATCTTTCTTGTAGTTAAAAATATGAAAAATCGGAAAGACCCGTCAATTTTATTCGTAAGGGGGACACTTTAAATGAATATTTTTAGCCTCCTTGTTTCAACCCCTTAGGAGGGGTAGATGTCACCCTGAGAATCTTCAATGGGA